CCAGTGACTTGAACGTTTCACCACAAAAAAAGATACAGTGGTTGGGACATGCATAGATTTTTTCAACCCCCATTGTCAATGGACTTATGACCTTCTTCACTTGGTATGTGTTGGCGGGAACTGAGTTTGGTTGTGGCAGCACCCATGGCAGGAGGCGCAATAGATCATTGAAACTACAGTCTGACCAGTCGTACTTAGCTTTCAGGATGAGTAGCTCAAGCACAAATTGTAGCAATGTCCAATGTGTCGGACAGCCCCTTTCAACACCATACACAGTCTCCTTCGATGATTTTATCACCCTTTCCAAATTTTCTAGACCTTTCGGGCTCTTTAGTAAAATCTCTGGTCCATGATCCCGAATCATTTCCTCTAAATCATCAAAATCATCGGCAGCACCTTCGTCATTACCATCCCAATCACCAGCATCACCACCTTGTTCATTGCCAAACTCAGGATCCATTTATACATCAAGCTCTTCTGAGTATTGGGACATGTATTCTATGGTTTCGGCTTTGTCTTCTTCATCATCGTCGTCATTATCAACAACCGCTGTTTCACCATGATGAATCCACACTGTGTAGTCCTCAACAAATCCTCACACAATCAAATGTTCTCTGATGATACTCACATCTGTCCATGCCATAAGGTTTTTGCAATCTTTGTAGGGACAAATAATTGTATCCTTATTCTTTGTCAACGTCATTGCATGCTTCTGTGCGGCTTTAATAAATTTGTCCACCTCTTCACGAAAACCTACTTTGAACCTTAACGAACCATACATCCAAGACTTCCTGTACTCCATCTTTTAAAACACAACAATCAAAGAAAATACATTATAGGACTACTAATTCAGATATATATGTAAAGGAATCAAATTAATAATTAATTACTTGACAATAATTCTATATACTTTAGATATATATAAATATAAAATAAAATTACATGAAGCATATCAAACAAACACCATGGTAGAGGGTAATTAATTAATGGCCTATTTATCAATAAATAATTAAAATATATATTTATTAATTAAAATAAATAATTTCAAAGACAATAAATTTACCACTAACTTTCATGCAAACCCTATTCCAATTTCATGAAACATAAATTTACCAAATTAAAATTAAAAAAAAACAAACCCTAGATCTAGATCTAAATCTACATGTACATGAAACATACATGAAACTAGGGTGTAATCTCAACTAAAATCAAGCAAGATCGACTAATAAATGGTGTAATCTCATTTATCTAACTAATTTACACTAATACCTTCAAAACTAGAGTCTAATTTGCTTCATACAAAGCTCAAGCACCATAGAAGAGAGAGAAAAGCAAAACTCTAATTATGATCACTAACCAACCATTAAAACTTCAAATAAAGGCTTGAAATAGTATTTTCTTACCTTGTACAACCTCTCCATCAAAGTATTTGAGATCAAAACCTCCCCCACTTAGTGGATGTTTACACTAAAATTTGGAAGAAGAATCGCAGGACCTGAAAGCTCCCAAGATCATGTCATCAAGGAATCAATCGCGTGCAGGTCGGTATCAGCTGATTCGAATGCAACACTGGAATCAGCTTTCTTCAGATAGCGCCAGTAGATAACGACAAAGGCTACGATCGGCGCCGGGGCAAGGCATGTTGGACTCTACAAAAAGGGAAAGATTAGAGTCCAAGTTATCTTAAATTAGGAATGTTTTCTCTAGGGCCAAAAATTGTGATGAGTCGTGCTTAGATAGGAATCATGCGTAGGTTCTGGGTATAAATATTGAACCCCGGCTATTATAAAGGACACACAATCAATCCAATACAAGTTATTTACTTTTTTCGGCTCTGGCCACCCCTTAGAAGTAGGAGTATAGTAGATCTCGGTGAGTTCTTCAGCGAGTATGACTGCATCGATCCGGTCGACCTCCACTGCTTGTCTGTAAGTACCGTCATGGCTTATACTTCTGTTCATATGGCTGCATTGATCCTGTCGACCCCCACTGCGACTCTGGTATAAGCTAGTTATCGACTCTTGTCTAGTTCAAGTACGGCTGCATCAATCCGGTCGACCTCCACTGCTCGAACTAGGTTAAGGTCAAGTTATCGGCTCTATCTAAGGGTGGCGATCCTTCGGATAGATTCATTAAGTTGCCGATATTGCTTATTGCTTTCATTATTTATTTAATTACAGCAATATCACTTCACCCGATTAGGGTTGATCTAGATCGGCCTTATATCCTGTTTAACCCATCGTTTGTTAATCTAAAACTAGTCTAATTTGCATCTTAAACGATGAGTTATGTTTTATCGGCTGTTTTATGTCAATCTTGATCGTGCATAGTGTGAGGTTAAGGCATGTTGCATCTTGAGTAGATCTATTGGCTAGCGAAAATTGTTCCATGGCCCGTTATCACGGCCTGTGTGATTCTGCCTCACACCCACTGTTAGCACCGTGGAGTGGGGATCGTTATTTGGTAGATCTGTTCATGAATCGACTGTTTTAGACGATATCGAGTGCTTTCACGAACAGTTCACGTCGCGAGATCGTTGAAGTAGGGATAGGTTGAAAGATATGTTAGCCCTATGATCTTATAATTGTATTACGACCTGCATGATTCTACCTCATGCCCCACTGATATTAGTAATAAGTTAGGATCGTCGAGTCTATTGTTGTTTATACGGCCTGCATGATTCTGCCTCATGACCCACTGGTCATAGCGATAGATGAGATCTAATATGTTCATTAGATTTATCTTTATTAGATGGTTGAACGATGATGATCTGTTTCTTTTATATAAAAGGGGTTCGATTACTTACAGTCATTGGTTTAGCATAAACCTATCATTGTTGACATCTTTTTGCCATTGACCAATATTTGTCTAAGTAATGATATTCATCATGAACAATAACTGATTCTTCTTACACAACCCCACGAGCTTTAACTGATTTATTCTTATGAATATACTGGAATCGACTATTTAGTCGATCTCCTTTCATATCGGCTCTCAGAGCCGCACATTCGGGACTGTCTGGCAACACTGGCATGTTCCGCCCTAAATTACTGATAAATTTTCTCTCCTTGTCAATTGCAGGGTCAAATTGACTGGCACGTCTCGGGAGGAGTACGTAGGATCGACCATTCCTGCGCTGAAGCTAGGCAGATCGACAGCTCCATCGAGCAGACTCTTCCGGCTTGCTCGTGCGACCTCGGCACGGGACGAAATTTCGTGCCGATAGTAGAGCAATTTTTGGGAGGAGCCCAAGGTCTCCCAACCTTTTTTCCTCGGGTTGGAGAGATTGGCCCGAGGTGGAAGAAGGTGGCTGCTATATATACATCGGGCATTTGTAGTAGCGGCTGGTGATTCAGCCGCTCCTATAAATGGACACAGCAGGGGCGGCTGGTAATAGCCGCCTCTACATACCAGTCGCCTCTACATACCAGCCTCCCCTACAAATCGACGTATTTGTAGGGGCGACTGCTGTGCTGGAGCCCGAACACGTTATTGTAGGGGCTGCTCCAATGCTAGCCGCCTCTAAAAAAAGCCCCGTTGCTACAAACTATTTTTCACGTAGTGGAGGCGTTTGAGGCGGCCGCAGTACTCGATGATGGGCATGTCCCCCTGGAACAGGCTGTGGAACTCCTGCTGGGCGTAGACACCCCGCTGGAGCCTGTTGTCGAGGAACTGCCCGGAGATTGCCGTCCTTGCGGCGTAGGTGGAGGCGCGTGGCTTGAAGATGTCATTCCAAATGTCCTTGGACACAGTGGAGTAAAGCCAAGAGATAATGCAAGAATCGATCTAGAGCCACTCCGGATCGTCGATCATGGCGGTGGCATCAACGGAGCCATCGACATGGGAGATGAGGCCGAACTTTTGGAATGTGAGCTCAAAGAAGGAGCACCACTGCCCGAAATTACCATCGTCCACAGAGAGGGTAACTGGGACGTGGCTGCGGATGTTGAGGAGCACAAGGGTGGAGGCTAGGGGTGGAGCAGGTTCAGCGGTGCAGCGAATGGATTGGTGGCGGTGGAGGAGGCTGAAGAAGAAGCGCCACTCGGACTCGCCATGATAGAGAGCGGAAGCAAGGGGTCTGGATCGAGATTAGGCTGATACCATGGGAGAGAATTGAACTGCACGAGTTTTCCATTAACAGTGATGAGGTACATATACATGTTGCCGAAGCACTGCCGGCCATTCATACACAACTGCATCCTATACAAGTGGATCAGCCATGGACAAAAGGAGAGGCTATCTAGTGTTTGACTAAATCACCAAGAAGTAGTCCTATCCTATATTTGGCCGGTGAGGAGATGTGCGCTGACACCCTATCACGAAGAGCACAAATCTAGCCAGAAGACGACTAGTAGGCGACGGAAAATGATCCGGTCACCTTGCTCTCGTCCAGCCACTAAATCCACCCATGCCTGCTTATCTGGTATCACCGCGTTCGGCTGGTACACTCGCAGCTTCTTCTAGCTTATTTCAGCTTATTCTCTCTCACAGAATACTATTCAATCATCCAAAACCATCCAAAAATCACTATTGAATGTCACTGACTCGACTCATTTTAGGGCTCGTTCGTTAAGTCAGGAACCATTCTTGCTGAAGGAAACTTATACAAATTAGATACGTAATCCGAGCTGGATTAGTTCCAGGCCACGGTTCCTCAGGAACCGAACAGGCCCTTCATAGTTTGTTGACAAACTGTGCGTCATCGTTTCGGTACGTAGTCTCGAACTCTAGCGGCTACCATAGGAGCACGAGGAATCCAAGAACCATCAAAATGGGCTCCGTAGGGCACACCGCCAGCGGCGACCGCCGCTGCCGCCGCCGCGTAATGTTCTTCTCGCTCCCATACCAGGGCCACATCAACCCCATGTTCCAGCTCGCCGGCCTGCTCCACGCGCGTGGGTTCGCCATCACCGTCTTCCATACACCCACTTCAACGCGCCGGATGCGTCCCAGGCTCCCAGTACCCCGCCTACGACTTCGTCCCAGTCCAGGACGACAGGATGCCGGCGAACAGCCCGGACACGGTGCAGGTAACCGTGGAGCACATGTTCGCCTTGAACCGCGCGTGCGAGGCGCCGTTCAGGGAGCGCCTGGCCGCGCTGCTCGAGCAGCAGCGGCACGCGCAGGAGGAGGACGTCGCGTGCCTGGTCGCCGACGCGCACCTGCTGACGCTCATGGACGTGGCGCGTGGGCTCGGCGTGCCGACGCTCGTACTTCGCACCGGCGGCGCCGCGTGCTTCCGCTGGTTCATGGCGTTCCCCAAGCTCTGCGACAAGGGCTACCTGTCCGCTCAAGGTACACACCTGCGCATTCATTCAGTAGTACATGAAAAAAAAACAGAGAAGGCATGGATGCCAACGTGTCCAATCTCCAGTGGCAGAGTCGCAGCTGGACAAGCCGTTGATGGAGCTGCCGCCGTAAGCGTCCGGGACCTGCCGTCCGCCAGCGGAGCCACCCTCGGCCTAATGCGGGAGCTGATTTCGCGAGCGGTGACGGCCGTGAAGACCTCGTCGGGTCTCATCATCAACACGTTCGACGCGCTGGAGGCCGACGAGCTCGCGTCGCTCCGGCACGACCTCGCCGTCCCGGTGTTCGACATCGGCCCGCTCTACGTGCACTCGCCGGCAGCCTCGAGCAGCCTGCTGCAGCAGGACCGAGGGTGCCTGGACTGGCTGGACGCGCAGGGCCCTGCGTCCGTGCTTTACGTCAGCTTCGGCAGCCTCGCCAGCATGTCCGCCGCGGACCTCGTGGAGACGGCCTGGGGCATCGCCAACAGCGGCCGCCCCTTCCTCTGGGTGCTCCGGCCAGGCCTCGTCCGCGGCGCGCCGCCAACGCAGCAGCCGCCGCTGCCTGACGGCTTCGACGCGGAGACGCGCGGGCGGGGCATGGTGGTGAGCTGGGCGCCGCAGGAGGAGGTCCTGGCGCACCCTGCCGTGGGCGCGTTATGGACGCACTGTGGCTGGAACTCCACGCTGGAGGGCGTGTGCGCCGGCGTGCCGATGCTGTGCCGCCCGTGCTTCGGCGATCAGATGGGGAACGCGCGGTACGTGGATCACGTGTGGCGGACCGGAGTCTCGCTCGACGGCGAGCTCGAGAGGGGCAAGGTGGAGGCGGCAATCTCGACGATGATGGGGTCAGGCGAGAGCGAGGCCGGCACCGAGCTGCGGGGGAGGGCACGGGAGCTCAGTAGAAGAGCGGCGGAGAGCGTGGCCAAGGCCGGATCGTCCGACCTCAACGTCGACAAGCTGGTGAACCACATCCTGTCCCTCTAGCCATTTGGTACAGGCGCAAAACCATGCCTGCTGTTTCTTTGGCTATGTTTATTTTCTTTGCAAAATAAATAAATGGAGCTCGCCTGCTTCTCGGAGATCCAAACGCAGAAGCACGAGGCAGAGCAATGGGTACAGGGCTAGAGTAGGCGTGGTGGTGCCATTGTTCCAGAGCTTTTGCGCTGCGGCGGTGATGGGTGCCCTTGTAAACACCTGAACACTTCTTCTAGCCTAATACAATGATGCACAAGTCTTTTGCATATTCGAGTTAAAAATAAATAGACAGAACTTCCGATCAAATTATTGGGAAAGAGAGATTTGATAGTGTAGCCAGCGACCAACTGACCATGTCGCTATGTTTGGCTCACTCTGTCCTACCTATGCAAGGGATGCGGTTGGGTTAACTCGTTAATCCTCAGATTTAGGAATCTTATACTCTCTCATTGTCCTCCCACCTAACTACATCTTACTAAGTTATCCTTGAGCAATCTTGAACTTGTTTCATCAATCCTTCCAATCAATATTCGATTACCCCTCTACACTATTTCATACTGATCAATCATTTCAAAATAACACAAGCATATAGTAGTCCTATGCTACCACTGCAGACTAAAGATTTCAGCTGATGACATTTGTGTCCTTGTCGCTTGTCGGTTCGGGTCAGGTGCAGTGCATGCGTCACCAAAAAATACACTGTTCGCATTCGAAGACAAATACTGACGGGTGAGCCCACGACTATGAAAAATTCGAGATCACCCAGGCTTCTCACCTACCACCAACTCTGCCGGCGGCAATGGCCGGACAAGACGAGCATCGCGACGGCAGCTCCCACCGCCGCCAAGTCGTCCTCTTCTCCCTGCCATTCCAGGGCCACCTCAACCCCATGCTCAAGCTGGCGGCGGTCCTCCACGCGCGGGGCCTCGGAGTCACGGTCCTCCACACGGACTTCAACGCTCCAGACCCCGCGCGCCACCCACAGCTCACCTTCGTCCCCATCCACGAGACGCTCAGAGACGAGGCCACCTCCCCGGACTCCGACATCCTCACGAAGCTGCTGGCCCTGAACGCCGCCTGCGAGGCGCCCTTCCGGCAGGCCCTCGCGTCGCTGCTTCGGCGTGGCCAGAACGTCTCGTGCGCGGTGGTCGACGGGCAGTGCTACGCCGCGCTGGGCGCCGCCGGCCGGTTCGGCGTCCCTGTGCTCGCGCTCCGGACGGATACGCCGCCGCGTTGCGCAACATGCTGGCGTACCCGCGGCTGCGCGACGCCGGCTATCTTCCCATCAAAGGCAAGCAAGTTGAAATTATTTTCCCCACTGGATTTCGAACTCAGGCGTTGATGAGCTAGTTCCACATTGTCCTGCAGAGGAGAAGTTGGATGAGCTGGTGCCGGACCTCGAGCCGCTCCGAGTGCGAGACCTGCTCCGTGTTGACGACTGCGACACGGACGAGATGTGCAGCTTTATCACCTGCGTCGCCGATGCCGTAGGAGCCTCGGTGTCTGGCATTGTCATCAACACGCTCGAGGCGATGGAGGCGTCGGAGCTAGCCAAGATCCGGCGGGAGCTGTCCCTTCCTGCCTTCGCGATTGGGCCCCTGCACTTGCTGTCGTCCCAGGATTCGGCGGAGCAGAGCTTGTACACTCCCGACGTCAGCTGCCGGGATTGGCTGGACTTGCACCCGGCGCGCTCCGTGCTGTACGTGAGCCTCGGCAGCTTGGCCTGCGTCGACCGCGGCGTGTTCGAGGAGATGGCGTGGGGGATGGCCGGCAGCGGTGTGCCGTTCCTGTGGGTTGTCCGCCCGGGATTAGTCAGCGGTGAAGAGGTTCCATCATTGCCGGATGGGTTTAGCGAGGAGATCAGGAACAGAGGGAAGATTGTCACTTGGGCGCCACAAAGAGAGGTCTTGGCGCACGCAGCCATTGCAGCGTTCTGGACGCATTGTGGATGGAACTCGATACTGGAGAGCTTCTGCGAAGGCGTGCCCATGCTTGTGCAGCCGTGCTTCGCGGACCAGATCGTGAACGCCAGGTATGTCACGCATGAGTGGGGTGTTGGGCTGGAGGTCGGGGAAGTGTTGGAGAGGGAGAGCGTCGCCAAGGTGGTGAACCAAGTGATGGTTGGGGAAGATGGACCTCTCATGAGGGAGAGGGCACACCGTCTGCAGATGCAGGCATCTGCAGCTACTAGTTCCGCCATGGACAGCCTAGTCCAGTACGTATTGTCGCGCGCCCTCCGCCGGCTGCCACGCTCGCCCACGGCTGCCCGGCGCAAGTCAGCCCCGCCAGCGACCACACGCGCTCCACGCTCGGCTACTCGGGACCGGCGGCTCCTGCGGCCACGCGAGGGCTCAGCTGCTCGGGAGTGGCCGTCGCAGGCTGGCAGCAAGGCCATGGCCCATGGCCGCCGCACCTATCCCTCCACCCTGTCGCGCTCCTGCTTCGCTCGTGCGCTGCTCGCCCCGCGCCGATCCTTTTGCTCTGTGCCTCTGTCCTTTCACCGCTCGGGGAACCAGAGACATGTGAACACGGCAAATGCAAAAGAAAGGGATTGCTTATGCTATTAGATTCTTAATTTCAATTTGTAATTTTAGTTTTTAATTTCATTTTTCAATTTTATTTTGTACTTTCAGTTATTAATTTCAGTTTTGCAATTTTAGTTTGTAATTTCATTTTTGTAATTTTCAGTTTTTAATTTCAGTTCGTAATTTCAGCTTTTTAATTTCAGTTTCTATTTTCAATTTGTAATTTCAGTTGTTTATTTCAGTTTAGCAATTTTAGTTATAGTTAGTAATTTCAGTTTGTAATTCAGTTCTAATTTCAATTTTAGTTTTTATTTTTAGTTTGTAATTCAGTTTCAGTTTTGCTATATATTATTTCAATCTAACACGAGATTAATAGTCCCTGGATTTCAGCTGAAACTCTCAAAGACTGTAAACTCTGATACTCGTTGGAATCATCAACGGATGGAATCAGCAATAATAAGACGGAGACGGAGACGGCCAAACGGGGTGGAAGGAGTCGCTCTACCATTTGAGCACGTGAACTGCAGCAACCTCCTCCTGCTGTCGCTTCAGAATGCACATACAAATATCAGTCTGTTCGCTTGTTGGTTTCAACCAGCTCAAATCAATTAACCAACAGTGTTTTCTTCTAAAAAAAACCAGCACCAGCATCAACCAGCGAACAGACCCGATCCTCTCATCAGCTGTCATCGCTTATCAACTTACTACTATCATATTATTATTAAAAAGATTTTAGATCCTAGTAGTATTGTTTTTTCACATGCTAAGTTAAAACTCGGCTTGCACCGTTGAAAGATCTAAGGTAGCGTTTGTTTGGAAGTCAAGGTGAAGTGGGACGGTCCTATCTCGACGGGACAGGGATGGAATGGCTCCATTTTTTGTTTGGTTGGCAAGGGACGGGATCGACCCATTTTGTGTTTGATTCAGAGACATAAAAAGTGGGATGAGCTACCGACAAGTGGGACCCATTTGTAAGTTTTTTTTTTCTTTTTCCTTCTCTTCTCCTTATCTCTTCCTCTCTCTCTCCTTATCTCTTCCTCCCGACGCCCGCCCCGTGCCTCTTCCATCCTCCCCCCGAGCTCGGCCGCCCACCGCGATGGGCCTCCTCTGCCCTGAGCTCGGCAGCGAGCCACTGAGCGCTTCCTCCGCCGGCGAGCTCAGCCACTGAGCGCTTCCTCCGCTGGCGAGCTCATGTGGCGGCAGATCGGAGCAGAGCGGGGGCCGGCACGAGCGCGTGTGGCGGCGGGCCGGAGCGAAGCTCGTACGACGGCGGGCTGGAGCAGAGCTCGGCCACGCGTGCGGGGGCAGAGAGGAGCTGGGGTCGGGGTGAGCTCGTGCGGCGGATCGATCTCGTCCACAGGTAGGTGCTATCCTTCCTCGTCCGCGACGGCAACGGAGCACTCGCCCGCGACCCCGTCCGTGACTTGTGACCGACGCTCCTCCTCTTCTTTCTTCTTCGCAGCGAGCCACTCATCCCACCTGGGTTGCCCCCGTCCGTGAAAATTTTGGGGACGGGGGTCATCCCGCATGTCACGGTATATTCGCACGAGGGACATCCTCACTCCTGCTCGCCCCTCAACCAAACGTTGCTCGTCCCAGGTCCGTCCCATCCCATGCCACCTTGTCCCTCCAACCAAACGCTACCTAAGTGGCTAGAGGGGGTGAATAGCATATAAAAATTTTCTACAACACTAAGGCAACTTGTTAGTTAATTAAATGGCGAAGCAAATTTTGTGCTAGTTCTACAAGTGTTGAAAGCCACCTATCTACAAGTCTAGTAAGCTATGATTTCTATGTACCAAGCAAAGGACACTATGTCTGTACTTCTACCACTAGTGAGCAACCTAGCAAGTGTAATTACAACTAATTAAGCTACACTACTCACTAGCTACAACTAGCTCTACACAAGTATATGACAAAGAAAATACAAGACCTAGGGATGGATATACCGAGCCGGCAAGAGATCATTCACAATGAAAACCAATGAATTCCTCGGGACAAGATGACACAATAATTTTTTACCGAGGTTCACTTGCTTGCCGACAAGCTACTCCCCGTTATGGCGACTCACCCACTTGGAGGTTCATGCGCTAATAGGCATCACATGCCTAACCCGCTACCAGGTGCTGCACAACCAACACAAGATGAGGATCCACAAGTTACGAGCAATCCACTAAGTTGCCTTTCGTGATCTCCTACGGGGAAGGCACAAGAGCCCCTCACAATCCACCGATCGGAGCCGAAGACAATCACCTTCCTCCGCTCAACGATCCTCATTGCACCAAGCTATCTAGGTGGTAGCAACCACCAAGAGTAACAAGCGAATCCCACAGCGAAACACAATCACCAAGTGTCTCTAGATGCAATCACTCAAAGCAATATACTTGGATGCTCTCCAATCTCACCAAATGATGAATCAATTAAGCAAGATGAGTTAGAGAGGAATGGCTAGGCTCACTAGGGTGTATTCTCAATAGAAATGGCCAAGAGTATGATCCCAAACCGGCCAACCACCTTTTATAACCCCAAACGAAATAGAGTCGTTAGGCACAAGAGGGGGCTCTCTGTGTGTTGACCGGACGCGCCTGTCGGGACGACCGGACGCGTCCGGTGTAGGGTCTGGTCCCCTAGATGCTGCCACGCGTCCCCCGTGTTTAACTGCAGCCACTCGATTCCAACGGTCAACTCCCTCACGCACGTGCGTTAAGTTGAGACCGGACGCGTCCAACACATGATCGTACGCACCAGCTCAGCGTCTGTTCGCCTGCGCCCACACACTCAACTAGCCACGACCAGACTCACCACTCGATGACCGGACACACCCTCAGCTAGAGTTCGGTCGAGTCTAATAAGCATCCAGAGATGAATTTCTTCGACCGGATGCGTCCGTTCGTAGGTGACCAGACGTACTCAGAGTTTGATCCTCATTCGCTTAGCTCCTGCGCGCCACGTCACCATGACCGGTCCTAGGAACAGTGTTCCCTCAGAGTCCGGTCACTCCCTCGAGCCATAGTCCGGTCATCCTGGCGCCTCTGCCTGTGGCAGAACCGCTTAATCTAATGCCTCCCAGGAGTACTTGTCTTCCTTTGGACACTAAGTACCCAAGGGAGCACACCAAATTACGCCGTTCTGTCGGACACACCCCAAGGGAGAACCCAAAAATCCATATTTTTCCATCAGGATCACAAATGAGAGAATAAAGCTTACAACATTTTAGCCATTTCTTACATCACTTTCCATACAACATCAGAGTATAATATTTATTATTTATAACAGCGGAATATGAACATGTTATCAGAGTTATGAACAATTTAATTTAACAACGGAATATAAACATGTGAAAAGAGTTACAGCGGAATTAAACATCTATTTATGACATGATAAAGTATTGATATGTAAACTACGACAACAGATTATAAAACTTCTATTTATAAAAACATTTAGTGAGAGTTATAAATAAAAACTACGATCGCAGCATAAAGGAATCCTCGCTGAGCCCACTAGGAGGTATCCACACACAAGAGTCAGCTCTAGCATCCGCCTGTCACCTGCAACAGGGGGAAATAAAACCCTGAGTACTCAATTATACTCAGCAAGACTTACCCGGCAGGAGGAAAAAAAAGACTCTAAGGATATGTAAGGCTATCTGACTTGTGGGTTCATTGCATCTGTAGGAGCATTACTAAAAGTGCATCCTTATATTCAATTTTCTTAGCAGTCAACATTAGTTCATTAACTAACCATTCTATGTAAGCACCTGTGCTACTTTCAAGCAGGTGGTAAGCAATTAGATTTCTTTTTACCATCTTTCATCTTCCAATTCTTACTACGATGCTAGAGTTTAGACAAGTCGTACCGATACGGCGGCGATTCGCGAATCAATGAGCCCAGTTGGGTATCCCGAAACACACGCCCCGCTTGTACCCTAGGCATAAGCAGGACCAACCTACTACCCTCCTATCATGGGGTCCAAGTCCCCGTCCAAATTTGGACTCCAAGCCCCCGCTTCTGAGTTCTGGACTCAGAGCGGTGCAAGGACCTCCACCCAAAAACCACCATGAAAGTCGGTCCGGAAAGTGCCGGAACCCATGACAAGAGAGTAACAAGTCTTCTCTGCGCCCATACCCAAGTATGTGCTCGGGATAATAAGTCTGTGACTTGCTTAGAGTCCAATGCAACGGCCGGTCCTTAACCGACACAGACAGAGAAAATAGTGTAATCAAGCTATGTCCCATTGGCCGCAGGACACAACCTCTTATACCCACCAATACCCAAACCATATCCCTGCTCGATCTTCATTTTTCCTTTCACCATTTATATATTCCAAGTGATAATAATACAATAATATATTTTCTATCTCTCACGAGTGACAGGCAATCACTCGACTTCTACCGGAGTCCTGTAGCATAGCAATCTACACGATCCCGTCATACTAGTAAGACTCATAGGATAAAGATATATATATATGCAAGTGGGTTTCATTCAACTCCTTAAAACTTAATGCACAAATATAATTTAAAGTGCAGAAAAGTAGAGGTTATGCACCGGGGCTTGCCTGGGTAAAATATAACAAAAAATTAGTATTCCATCTTTGTGTCTTGATCCCTGGCACCATCTTTTCAGCTACTCCGTTTGATACCATCGATCCACCGTCATTCCTATTATGATATGCAATGCGATGCAGAGATGATGCAACAGTTAATTAATCAGGCAACAACAACTCTTAAAACAGAGTACATACTACGAACTGACAAGCTAGCTCTAATGACTAACGCACTAATCTACGTATCAACATCGTCAAGAAAGGTGTCATTTCCCAACAAGTGTTTTAGTTATACAATTTCAAGGTGTTTCTTTATTCCATTGTATCGATTTAATCTTTATTCGAAATAGGACATCATTATCTATCTAGCAAACTAATTATTCTAGAGCTAAAAAATTACAATGAGCAGCTAATAATATTATTAATTTACGGTAAAATTTTTAGAGTCAACACTATCACTATTTTCTCACAAAAATTCCCACAAGTTCACATTCTAACA